GGGATTCTTCTTGTGCTTGCCTGAAAACGGATTGAACTGGAAAGATTAATAGAAGAAAACTTACGGTCCCTGATTCTAACTGCCTCAAGCGCTCTTCTAGGTATGCTCGAGAACGAGAGCCCATTAACTTATCCGCATCATCTTCGCCAAAGGCGTCAAGCCGAATAGATAAAGCGGCTTTTGCAGCAAGCATACGAGATATTTTCCCCTTAAATTGAGTATCAGCCTGGGAGACCAAACTAGCGTGATACAATATTCCGTATTTGGGAGTGTTATGCCGATTCTTCAGGGCACGGAATAAGGCCTTTTCGGCACCCATAATTTGTACAGTAGAAGCGGGGTGCTTAGCTAGATTGACCAATGTGCCAGCTCGTGCGATAAGCCGAGCACCAAGAATTTCGCCGACCATTGCCGTGAGGTTAGGCGCGACAGCAACCATCCGTTTTACCAAATAATCCTGAAGATTTTTCCGTGAATCCTCTACCTCACAAACTTGATCGCACAAACTACGTATCATTTGCACATCAGCCGAAGTTATCTCAGTACCGAGGGAGACAATAGCCGCATCCTTTATATGCGAGATTAATTCCGAATCAATCAAATCTGAGAGATCTACTTTTTTTACATTTTCCCTCGTCCCAATCCTATTAACCAAATTTATGTAGGTGAGGTTATCTTCGACAATTCTTGTTAATTCCGGAAAGTGCCAGCCATACATCTCCTTAGCCCGCATTATATAGTTATTTGACTCTTTATCAAGTTCATCTAAGAGACCTACTGCTTGAACAATCATCGTGTCCACCTTATCTGGATTACACTTTAGTTTGTAACGATCAAGACTGTGAGCTAGGCCAAGGCGCATTTTACCCATATCAGTAGAGTCGACATTAGGAAGTAGAGTATGAAGATGAGCTCTTATGGCTCGCATGAGGTTGTGGACAGAAGAATCGCAGAGAGTGGGGATTTGCAGTTTTGCCTATAAGAATATGATCATAAACAAGGGGTACATTAATTTCCTGAGAGAGTTTTTTGTCAGCAACCGCGAGAATGTCATCATTTAATTCTTTAACATAAAGCTTTTTAAGAACTTTGTTCAGCTTTTTTGAAATCCTGCCCTCGATGAGTTCACTGGCGGCTAAAAAGGGAGGTTTCGCATATTAGAGAAGATAAAAACTTTAAGTGAATGGAAAATTAGAAGGTCAGAGCGTTTAAAGACATCAATAATATCAGAGACTCTAGTCCGCAGATCTCATCATTGAAGTTCTAACGGAGTAGAGCTAAGACTAACCGGCAAGCGCATCCTTGATGTGTTCAAATCTCACAAATTTCTCCAGCTGAATGCTAAAAGACGTGAGAGTAAAGACGGCTTACGTGCGATTCATGAATTCAGAGTCCGTGAACAGGGAAGACGGATCAAGGACATGCTCGAACTTAGAAGCGTCAAGGCATCTAAAGACGGCATAACCAGCGGCAGTCTCAAAGAGGACAAGCATGACAATTTTCGAAAACCGTATCAGAGTGAGTCAAACATGAATATAAGAAAATAATAATAATAAATATATATATAAATTATCAAATTCTATTAACAAATTTAAAAGATTTTGTAATAAGTTAACATTTTAAATTAAAAAGTAAAATAATTCTTATTTGCAAAATTTTTATTTTTTTTATATACTACTTTCTTATCTGTACTCTTATATCTAACTTTCAAATGAAGTTTGTCCAGTATGTTATTTTCACGTTTTTATGTCTTTATTATATCTTATCTTGGTCCTTCGTGTCTTCTATACTTTTTAAGGATTATTCGATCCGTTGTTATATTCTTTATATTTGTTTCCCTATGTTTACTTGTCATTATTAACGCTCGAGCCATTTCAATTATTTTTCCACTTCTTTTTTTGAGTACTTCTTGGTGATCATTTTTAACCTTAGTTATCTTATGGTGTGCTTATCGCTTCTAATTTGTGTATTTTCATTGTTCTTTATACTGTTATTTTGAGTATTATAATTTATTTATACATATCCTCGACTTAATATGGAAATATAGCTGAGTAAAGCTGAGTAAAACTAATTAGTGACACTTTGCGTAAATGAATTTTTTTTGTATTAAAGCTGAAGCTGGGGAATGTGAATTTCTTCATACGACTCCTATGCTTTGATTATCCTTTCAGTTTTCTACTTTTCATGCTATCTTATTAATATATTATCATCAATTGCTTATTGCATAACTATATAGATGGCATCGAATCTGCCCTAAATTGTTTGATAAGTAGACTTGTAGTTATGTCTTGCGTTATATTTCCATTAGTCATTCACTTGTGTTGATGCCGTATTCAAAACACTCGGTTTTTGGTGAAACTCTAGTGGACTTTCGTCTTTTATATGGAGGACATAATTGTAGCCAGGACAGTCTTATATAGTTTTGTGTTTGATATCGATTCCTAGACTATCATCGAAGACTTAACACGACTTCCAATATAACTACTATTATCTGATGTCTCCTTCACTTTTCACAAAACTAACTCAGCTCAACAATATTTTCGCTGGATAACTTCTCCTATCATCATTTTACGTCTTGTATAGCAGATAGAATATCGGACTTTACTGAAAATTGACCAACAGAGTTGATACCTATAGTGTTGTGTTGAATCTGACTAGCTTTGGAAAATGTCGCTATTGTGAAATTACTTAAAAGCTAACAGATATTTACGGCTACGCGTTAATATA